GGTCTTTTTTTTTTTAGATGAATCAAAGTATATGTATTATCATACGGAGTACAAGGGGTACTCCACCCATAGTCTCAAAACACCTTACAGGATAATAACAAATAAGGCACTCAAAATCAATTCAAGAAGGAGGGCTTAGTGCCTAAGCAAAACTAACTTCTAGTAATTTCTTGAACACATAGACTAGGGGAATTACACCAGTGAAAAAAAGAGAACATAGAATTTTTAGTCTTCCCCCTTATCCATACAAAAGTCCTCCTTTGAATTAAATCAAAAGCCTTACCCTCATCCCACTGTTGTGCGTTATGAATAATAGAGTTCCTTATATACCATATGGACCATGTGATCACCAAGAAAATGAGAAACCAAACATCAGATTTTACCACCTTTTTGATCCCAAAGCTGTGAGCTTCACAAAGAAGGGGAATGGAGTTGGGCAAGGATAGAGAAATCCCCCACCAGTTGTAGCATTTCATCCATAGGCTCTGTATCTTTGGGCATTGAGCGAACAGGTGATTTTCATCCTCGAGGTCCCTTCTGCATATGCAACAGATTGTTTCTGTTTCTTCCACCTTGACACCCCTCTTCAAAAGACCATATTTTGTTGGGAGGCCATTGAGAAGGAGGCGTCAACCAAAACAGCTCACTTTGATTGGTACTAATCTGTTCCATAGCCTTGTGCAAATTCTTGGTTCCAAAATATTGTTCTGTCCAGCCATCATTGAGTAAGCCTTGCCCACTGTGTATCCATTGGCGGTATCAAAGCTCCAGATTCTTTGGTCGGGTTGGGTAGAGAATGTGATCCCGCCTGTAAGGCTTTCCTTTAGCAGTCGTTCTTCGTTCCTTTCCCTGCCAAAAGGTTCACGTCTCCATGCATTTCTCCAAATCCATAAGCCATTAGAAATTTGACCCACTTCCATAACATTAGCATTCTGATTAGAAGCTAGATTAAATAATCTAGGAAAAGAAACATCCAAAGAATCTATTCCTACCCATTTATCACACCAAAATTTTATTTTGTCACCCATCCCCAACTTCCATATGAAACCGTCTCTTAAAACCAATGAGCCTTTACCCCCCTCTTTACCTATAGCCACAATATTCCCCCATAAGGAAGGTAATTTCCTAACTTGAAATTGTTTGATATCCCACTTAATGACCCCACCGTAATACTTATTGGAAATAACTGTCTTCCATAAGCTGTTCTCTTCCTTCCCAAATCTGTTCCACCACTTTCCTAGCAAAGCTATATTTCTATACTCAAGATTTGGTACCCCTAAACCTCCCTCTTTTTCCCCCCTACATACTTTCTCCCAACTCAGCCATGCTAACCTATTCTTCTCCTCTGAATAACCCCACAAAAACTTCCGTTGTAAACATATAAGTTCATGCAGCACAATTTTAGGAATTTTAAAAACAGACATAAAGTAGATAGGGAGGGCAGAGAGAACGGACCTTAGCAACGTAACTCGGCCACCAATCGAGAGGTGCTTCGCTTTTCAAACTGCCAGCTTCTTACTAAAATTATCAATAATTGGAATCCAAGATTTCCTCCTGCACATAACATCCCCAATTGGCATGCCAAGGTAGGTGAATGGGATGGACCCTGATTTACAATTAAGAGTAGCAGCTACCATTCTTCCCCACTCATCCGAGACATGGAACGAATACAGCACACTTTTGTTAAAATTGATTTTCAAACCCGAAACCAGTTCAAACCATCTCAATATCCCTTTCACAGCTTTTATATTTGTAGGATCTGCCTTCCCCATGATAACGGTGTCATCGGCAAACTGGAGGTGGGATATGTTGAGGCCAAAAGGGCCTATATCGACTCCTTGGAATAGGTCCTTACTTACAGCTGCTTCAATCAACCCATTTAAGCCTTCTGCAACAATTAAAAAGAGAAACGGAGTAATGGGATCACCTTGTCTTATCCCTCTCTCCATTTTGAACTCATCAGTTGGGCTTCCATTAATAAGAACAATTACTGAAGCCGTTTGCAAACATTTCTTTATCCATTTTCTCCATTTTTCACCAAATCCAAGCCTCCACATCATTTCATCTAAGAAATTCCAATTCATACAGTCATATGCTTTCTCGAAATCTGCTTTAAAAATGAAGCTACTAGCCTTTTTCCTCTTGATCTCCTCCACTACTTCATTTAAAATTAGTATTCCATCAGTGATCTGTCTCCCTCCCAAAAATGCAGACTGTGCCCCACTAATCACTTTAGATATAACTTTCTTAATCCTATTAGCCAGCACCTTCGATATTATTTTATACAGACTGTTAACCAAGCTAATTGGTCTATAGTCTTTTAAGTCAACAGGATTAGCTTTTTTTGGAATAAGGACAATAAAAGAAGAATTTAGTCCCCTTACCAGTTTGCCATTGCTGGAGAATTCTTGAACAAAATTAACAATATATTTTTCAATCACACTCCAGAAAGATCTAATTAGATGGAAGCTGAACCCATCAGGACCTGGGGACTTGTCCCCTCCACATTCCCACACTGCTTGTTTCACATCTTCTGCTGAGATATCTCTTTCTAACCAAAGTTTGTCTTCATCATCTAACTGTTTGAATTGCAAACCATCAAGCTTTGGCCTATCCCATTTCTCTTCTTGGAAGATATTTTTGAAGTAATCCCGCACTTCTTGCTTCACTGTATTGGGTTCTTCCATCCATGACCCATTTTTATATAAGCCCCGAATCAATTTCCTGTTCCTATTGCCGCTAGCAATTCTATGGAAGAGCTTAGAATTGGCATCCCCTTGCTTAACCCAGTCAAGCATAGTCTTCTGCTTCCATGCCACTTCTCTTCTTTGCCATGCTTCCCATAATTCACTGAACCCCTCCCTTCTGAGCAAGATGTCCTCCTCTGTTATTTCATTGTCTTCATTCTTGCTATCTACTCCTTTAATTTTTGCTTCTGCGACTGCAATCTGGTGCTCGTAGTTACCAAAGACTTCGATATTCCATGTCTTCAATTTATTCCTCAATTGCTTGAATTTTTCTTTGCACACATATCCACTCCATCCCCCAACCTCTGTAGTTTTCCAAATATCCTCAACTACTCTGATGAAATCTGGATGTTGATCCCAGCAATTCAGAGTTGTAAATGGTTTTGGCCCCCAGTCACTGTTAACCATTTTTAATATCACCGGACAGTGGTCTGATATGGTTCTGTTTAATCCAAACTGACAGCAGTCACCCCAGAACGTGAGAAGATCATCAGAGATAAGAAATCTGTCCAGTCTGCTCATTGCTGACCCGTTGCTTTTATACCAAGTGAATTTCCTCCTTGTTAGTGGCAAATCATTCAAGCCAGCACTTTCAATGAAGCCATTAAGGTCCTCCCTGAAGCGGGAATGCTCCTTTCTTCCTCTTTTCTCTTCCTCTGATCTTACACTGTTGAAATCACCAGCTATACACCAAAAGCCATCATCTTCCTCAATCATCTTTTGTAAATCAGCCCATAACTCCAACCTTTCATTCCTGTTACACGAAGCATAAACATTGACAATGCAACACTTTTTCTTCTGGAGTCCCCACAGACCGTAAATTGCCACTGCTCCTGATATTTCGACAACTATTTCTTTAACAAATATATCATTGTCCCACACACACAATATACCTCCTGATCTACCCACCGAAGCCTTATAAGCCCAATCAAAGTTTTCATGCCCCCAAATAGATAAACAAAATTCCTTGTCAATAGACTCTAGTTTAGTTTCTTGAAAGCAAGCAAAATTAATTTCCTCTTTCCTCACCATATTTCTCACCACTTTTCTTTTAACCACACTGCCGAACCCCCTCACGTTGTAAGAAAGCAGCTTCATTTATA